TTGTAGAAATGTTGTCTACCCCATATGAAACAGTTTTTTCAAGTTTTTTATTTTCAAACTGCAGGATTTGCCACTTTGGGTGATTAGACTCAGATGCACTAGAGTTGGTCAGACGTGACAGGGTGCCAAGCCCATAAGTCCCTCAACTCGGTAGGATATATAATTTATTCGTTGCTCATCGGATGTGATCTGCAATCTAATGCCTACACCACCAACCCCTGAGAGGCACATAGACATAGATATGAGAGATGGAAATTTATCAAAATTGTCACAAAGAGACGAACAATTTTATATTTTACCTATATTTTTAATTGAATTCCAAAATACTCAAAAAACAAACATTATTATATATTATATATTTATGTTGAAATATTATAATAGTATATCATATCATATTATATATTATATATTTATGTTTATTTTATTAATGTAATTTATATTATATATAGTATATATTGATTACATATTATAATAATATATAATATTAATATATATTTATTATATATTGATCACTCAAAAAGTATTGTTTCATGTGCCTAATCATTTTCTTCGAAACCCAATTATGCGTATAATATTTTTTTTTTCTTTTTTATGTAACAATATAAAAAAATGCATGTAAATTTTAAAATATTTTACAAATTTTTGGAGATTTTTTTACCAAAATTGCATTTTTCAGAAAAAATCGTGGCACTAATCGGCCGATCTAGTCGGAATCGGTCAGACTAAAAGGATCGCGTCAAGACCGATTAATCGGCTCTATCCATTGTTTTGAACACTGGTTTGAAGTTGGAAAAACCTTTTTTTTTTTTTGGGGTAATTAGTAGGGAAGAAGGTCCTCTACCCGTTTTTTATTAATAAAGATAAAAAAAAACAACTCATAATTTTACAATTGAGCATCTGTGCCAAATCAAGAAGTAAAAAGAAGGGAAATAAAATCCGGCAGTCGAACACATCAATCCGTAGCATTAGAGAAGGACACCTTGTTTTTGACAAGTGAATCCACTACCATGTTGATCTTGCGATAGATATGAAAAATGGACCACACCATTTGTAAAATTGTCTCCAATTAACTGCCACCGTGTACGTGTGGAGTGCCCATGGGGCATTATGAATGACATTGACGAGCGACTCGGAAAAACTTGCCCCGGACCACTGGACGATGTGTTCGACGGGCGAATTTTGTAAATAATAGGCTGGAGATGAATTCATGTTTCATTTGACAAATACATAATGCTTCCAACGCGGTAGCACCATGGCATGCTTTGTCAGCTCTGTTTGATTTTGAGAATTCTTCACACCAGGATTTCAAAAGAAATCGCCAAGTTTTTTCGAGTTATAGATCAACAAGTTTTCACACCAAGTAGCTGTACTCGCTCATAGGGATCGGATTTTGCAATAGGGTGCAGTTTGTATAGAGCCTAGGCTCTAAATAATCAAATTAGAGCCTATCTTCAAATAATGTCAAGAAATATAGTTTTATCATTGAAAATCTTTGTGATAGCCTTAAAATACATTTTCATATTTATTTATAAAGTTCAAAGCTTTAAAAATAGTGTAGATCGGAAGATCTATAAAAACTTGAAAATCTTGAAAATTGACGGTCCAAAAATGTGTTACAAAATACACTATTTTCAAAACTTGAAATCTATTTTTTTCTCATGTCCATGCATCTTGATGTCGAGATGATCAATTTGAAGATATTTGGGCATCAAAACAACCTCTTTTAGTGAACTTTTTGAGGTAGGCCCAAATTTGATTGTTTAGAGCCTCGGCTCTATATAAACTTTTCCCTTTGCGATATTGGGAGTGCTAGTTAAAAGACTAATGGTCTTGCGGTAGCATATATCCAACCTACACTCCCTCTAACTTACAGCATTTGTAGGACTTCAAATTTGGGATGTAATCTCCTCGACTCAGCCACCAATAATAGAAATAAATCAAGAAAATAGAAACTTATGAAGAAGTACAAAAAATAACTGCACTCTTTTATGTGCTTGACTAAAGTAATGTATTATGATAAAAAACGAGGCAATCCAAATTTTGGACAGTTAGATCAAAATGCTTAGGAAATCGAAGTCCATGTTTTCTTCATACTCTTTTTTGTTAAATTATTCTTTTGGCAGTCTGAGAGGATCACAAACTTCATGTTGAAAAAGATCTCCCTCTTTTGCCTAAGGGAGTAAGTGTACAGTTTACTCATTTGGCAGTCTAAGAGGATCACAAACTTCATGTTGAAAAAGATTTCCCTCTTTTGTCTAAGGGAGTAAGTGTACAGTTTGCTCGTGCGGAAACATGTTACACTTGGTACATCTTATCATAACACATGGTTCGACCATCAGCAATGGGATTGATTATTTGCCCATCATTGCCTACGGAGACTTGGAAGTTGGAAGGCGGCCTCAATTTTGAGCAATAACATACTACAATGGTAAGAGGAGATGGTATTTCCTTAATACAAAGGGACAAAAAACAAATTAATACTCAGTTATGCTCAAAGCCATGCCCAAATTAATTTGTATATTATGAGTGTTTTTCAGTTGGCTGGAAAAAAACAAGGAGTAAGCCCAAAAGAATACGATTGGAAGTAGTGAGAAAATATATGGAGATTTATGGCATCACTGACGATATGACCCCTTAATAGAGCAAAATCGGCGGACTAAAATTTATGTAGCCGACCCTAATTAATTGAAAAAAGTATAATGATGATGATATACGTTTTCCAACTCTTGGTTGGTGGTTAAGGTGTAGAAGTCTTTTTCCCAGGCTATGCATGTCTATACAAATTGCTATTCCTATATTGGTGTGAACCTTCAATCTTTTAACATGTTGGTATATAAATGAAACTCATTTTTTCTTTGCCTGATTGAAGAACACCTACAAAAGTGACTCTAAAACCCCATATACCATTACATACCAGTTTTACAAGAATCCGGCTTGAACTTGATTGATTCGTTGCTGACGTTTGCAACGTTACATTTCAAGTTTGATTCTGATCTCCAAGTAACCCAAATCGAGAAAAGGTCCAAATTTTTTAATGGTAAACAAAAAGATAAAATGGCGCGAGCCGCGCGAGTGGTCATAATATACATTTTGAATTGGATAATGAAATTATTGCATCTTTTGTAAAATGACCCACTGACCCACATCTAGAGGTCCACCACTTAATGCGGATAAACTTGTTGATCCCTAAGACCTAAAAACACACACATCTCTCTCTCTCTCTCGTGCAAGTGGATCATTGGTAGTCAACAAATGTGGGTGACGTGGGTGGGTGGGAGACCAAATATGGGGCTTCAATTTCTTGCATCGGCTTGAAGCATATGTGTGACCCATGGTCTTTGCTTCATTTTCTTGAAACCAAGGTTTGGGATGTGAAGAATGTAGCTTTCACTCACACCCAATTGATTCCCCACTCTCACTCCTCTTTTTCTCTTTTATACTCTCTCTCCATTGGTAAGAAGACCCACTTTTTGGTGGAATGCTTATCTTTTGGTGTTACAAAAATCAATTGGTTTTGAGTTGTCTCGCAAATGGCAAGGCAAGTTGGCTTTGACTTCAACATTGGGTAAATGTGATGCTCATTCTTCTGTTGGGGGCTACCCCACGTTGTCTTACTCTTTCTTTACATTACATTCGCCTTAGCAAACTCATTTCTTTTCTTCTCACTTCTC